ACATGCAGCTACTTTTGCTTTTGATGTTTATGAGGGGATCGGAAATAGACAGGCGACAGTAGTGACGGCACTCGATCTTGAATATGTTTACAATAGAATCAGAAGTGATATTTTGATACCTGCGCTCATAGAGAAGGGGGTTTCTCCCTAGCTTGTGACCTGGAAAGCAGCTGTCCTGCATTCGCGTATGTTTGCCCTTCGCCAGGGAACACGGAGCTCAGAACCGTAAAATATCACGCCGGGTCTATTCCGTGGTTCTGCAATTTTATTAGTGCTCTTTAATGTGTATACAAGCAAGATTGCAGCACCTGAACCATTGGGGTTGGAAGAATATGGACATTTGCAGATGCACTCGTGGTACGACCTGTGGTTTCAGAACTGATACATTTTGTGGTGGTCGGTCGCTGCTCACAACAACCAGTAACACAAAACGCAGAAAGCTTTGTGAAGGCAATACGACGAGACACCTCTGTAATATAGTTTAGCCCGTGGGAATAAACTCACAGGGAGCAAGTACAGCAGGGATCTACCAGTCGTCAGTAGAAATTATCCTCGTCGACACGCGTTTCGGCCCACGATTCCTAGACGCATTCGGAGGTGGGCCCACCTGAGTTCATGAAGCTCAGGGCGGGTACCCTGCTGCACGGAATTACCGGATGGTGTTTTTCTTTCGGCCAGAGACAAGACGACTTGGTGGTTGCAGAAGGTACTGTGAGATAAGAAGTCGCCGCGGCAGCCTAATTAAAGCAGTCAGCGTGCCTGGACGACCGAGCGACAAGCTTACGTTTGGTTTACCGGACACATGTTGGACTTTTATTAGCAGTTGGCAGAGGAACACTGGCAGACAATTCGGACACGATGGACTTTCAAAGGGGTGAGAAACCCTTTTCCACTAGACACCCGGACCAGCTCACCGAGGCCCGTCCCCTACGTTGTTCCGTTGCGTCCAAAGCCAGCTAGAGGCCCTTTCGGCTACCTCTCCCAGTTTTTTGAGTGTTCGTTTCCGTTCATTACCGCACAATCCTAGTTCTTTAACCACATTGTAGAGCGAAGTGGAAACGAGGCCTCTCGCTCCCACTTCGACGGCAAATACCCGTACTGTGTACGCCTCGTTTCTCCTCAGACCGGCTGCTAAATCACTGTATTTCTCGAGCTTATACATGTGATTCTGTGCCCGTGTGATAGATGAGCAAGCATTCGAAAGGTCAACCAGTGTGAATTTGGGCCGGAAGACACAATGAGAACCCAAACGTATTCTCCTGTGTGTGTCTAGAAAGCTGCCGTCTTCAACACAGCAACAATGTCTTATGTCCGCTTCCTTAAAGTGTCTCTACTCTGTCTCTCTTTCTTTCTCTCTCCATATATGTATGTGTGTGTATATAAATATATACATACATAGACACACTCAAATACATATATAAGTGCATGTAGTGTGTGTGAGTGTGTTTGGGTAAGTGTGTTTATGTGGACGGTGAGTATGTCTCGATAAAAGGAGGATGAGAAAGCTCATAGATGTGAACTCTTAATTCAGTTATATGTTTTATCGTGTCTTTACCTCATCAAATGTTGATCTTTTGTACTGGTCATTCCCAACCTGAGTATCGACAATCAACTAACTCACGTCAAGTCAGACTACTCTTCTCTTTGCCATCGCGTTTTTCTCACCTCATGTCCTATTCTCCCCCCGCCCCAACCCGCAGCTCATTGTTCGGTTATAGGGTATCGCAGTGGCTACACACTTTTCTTCAGGCCCCAAGGTTGTGGGTTTGAGTCTACATCTGTGTACATGACAAACCACGACCTAGACTCCCAGGTCGACCAAACAAGCAATAAGTACCTAGAAATGTCCTGGGAAATTAAAGCTATGAGTTCCATTTAGTCATTACAATTATGTGTCTACCATCATAAGCTCTGGAGACACGGTCCTTTATCTTATTTTTCTTGAAGTCTATACCGTATGGCGTTGGTAGTCATGTATATCCACAACCTCCTGTCTCGTGTACTTTCAAAGAACTTTGATACAGATGATCCTCCATGCCATGATGTCAAGCTGTCCAGCATCTTTTCTCTCGGTCTCCCTCTGCCTCTCCTCCCCTCCTTCCTACTGTCACGATGTACTCGAGTTTTCTCCTCGTCACATGACCAAAGAATGTAGATTGTCTCTTTCTCTTATCTTGACATTAATTAATTTCCCGGTGTGTGTGTGTGTGTGTGTGTGTGTGCCCCCCCCCCCCTTCTGACATTTCTCCATTGAGAAATAGAAGGGTGTGTCCCGAATGAGAACAAAATTCTACATCGGGGTTCGAATCTTCATTAAGGTGATGGGCCTATCTTCTACCTGTGGCAATATACATTCCTTATTTCTACTGGTCTTTACGCCGACACTAGCCAGTCTACATCGTCAGGCTAAAAACTGCACTTCAGCTCAACGCCTTCCTCATTGTCGCGTTCACCTGCTGTGAATGCCTCTGGCAAGTCATAATCGTTCGTCCATCGCTGGACTTTCATCTTGTAACAGGACTTAAGTGATGCAAAAATATCAGGTTTACAGACCCGACTTTGCGTATGCAGACTGCTGGTTCCTTTGACACAGATCTAAAGACGAGTAAATTAATTTAAAATAAATAGCATTCGCTTTTGCAATATATTTTTATACTGACGTATTTTGCAGCTAGAAAGTCTTCATCAACACATTACATAAACCAACAAAACAATATGTGCAGACAACAGTTCACAATATTATAAAATCACTTAGCTGACGTATTCCCCATTTGAGTCACATTGTTGTCATGGCAGTGGAATTGGATTTTGAGAGGTCATTAATGTCACAGATGCAGCAACTTGATACTAAGAAGGGGTATAAGAATAGCAGCCAGGTTTTTATAGTACCATTAGGCTAAACACTAGAAAACATTGTTCTTAGTTTATCACTATGTTTTAACTCTCACAGGCAATACCTGACCACACATAGTCGGTTATGGCTAACAGAGTTCAATGACGGAGCTAAGTTAGGGCAAATGCCAGCATGCATGTCTGCCTGCATGTGTGAATCATTTTTCGGGCCAACGGCCTGACCCTGCCTAAAACTGGTACTAGGAGATCATGTGGTGAGGCTGGCGTGATGTCGACTATAGCAAACAACTGACTTTTCTAGAAAATGTGGAGCTAACACACAGACTCGTAGCAAAAGGCGTGGGAGTGGTGCTAGAGGCGCACCGGATGTTGTCACTGAAGGAGGTGACAGATAAACAAAAATACAGTGTTTTTAACATAAAAAAATGTGTGTGTGTGTGTGCGCGCGCGCAGACGCGTGTGTGTAGAGGTAAGAAGACATTTACCACCTGATCTTGCAATTCCACTGGGGTTACCAGAAAAGTTTCCGTACCGGCGACCACCTGACCTTGCAATGCCACTGGATTTGACAGGCAATTATCCGAAACCGCCTAACACCGGACCTTGCAATGCCACTGATGATGACAGAACATGTTCCGCACCGGTTACCACCTGATACTGCAATGCCTGGGGGTAACATAAATGTTTCCGCACGGGGTGCCATGCCATCTTGTAATGCCACTGGGGGTAATAGGAAATTGTCGGCACCGGCTACCACCTGACCTTGCAATGCCACTGGGGATGACATGGAATTTTCCGCACCGGCTACTACCTGACCTTGCTACGGCACTGCTAACACCATATGTCCGATGAGACTCAGTGCAAACACATTTCCTTTACTTCACCTTGAAACTATAATATTTACATATACAGTCATCAGGGAGTCATCAGCACGAAGCTTACATCATATCACTTGGCACAGTCAGTCAAAACAGTTGAGTGTGCCACGCTGATTCGTCATACTCATCAGCTGACATGGTGTCACTTTCCGTTAGTTGGCTAGTTTTTCCTTTTGAGTATAGGGCGGCGCATAGGACAAAGGTCACGGCTGGCGGTTCGTTGCCACATGTTTTAGATCTTGGATGTTCATTAGGCCCATGGTTGAGCCTTCCCTGATGATGGTTCTAAGCAGAGTATCTTTGGTTTTCACCGTTTTTTTTTTCTCTTCCCGTGGTGGGAGAGTCTGGTCTTATCCTTCAGAGTACATGACCGATATAGTTCCAGAGGCGCTTTTCTATAAAACTGGACACAATCCTGCTTGGTTTCTTGTCTTATTTGCGTTATGAATCTAAAATATGTCCTGCGGAGGTTTAGTATTCTTCAGACATCTGTTCTTAAAATCGTTTATTGTTTTCTAGAGCTTTGTGCTTTCTAACTCTCGCATTTAAATGTTAGCACTGGAATCATACAAGCGTTGAAGATCTTCTTTTTTGAGTGTTTGCTGAATGTCCTTGACTTCCAGATGTTTTAAAGTTTGTTAAAGGCACTAGATGAATGTGCGATTCTATGTTTTCCCTGTCTGATACGTAGTTCTTCTTCTTCTTCTTCTTCTTCTTCACTTCCTCTTTTACCGCTGTGGGTGTCGAGGAAGATATAAGGTTCTGTTTCTAGCTCTTCTGGCTGCCTCGACTATAGGCACATCGTGCTGTTGTAGAGTTTCTCTGATGTTATCCTTCCATCTTGTTCTACCCCGTGCTCTACGTCCTTCTTCTCTTTCCATGTGTGCTTTGTATGGTATGGTGTCACAAGGCATTCTCTCTAAGTGGGCAAACCATTTCACTTGCTGTGATACGTAGTTCTAACGTTGCAATAACTAATTTGGAAAATGTCCTTGGAATTTAACAAGTTTAAACAAGCTGCATAACATTTAGAGCTAGAACTCTAACTCTTTTAGAACTTCTCAAACAAAGGATGTTTTACGATGACGACTTGTTGGGTCATCGAACAACAGTCTAAACCCAAGCAAGAGGGAAACACGTCCCGCCATCTTGGCCCAAACCGGAAACCACTTTTCGTTTAACCTGGCATAGTATGCCAACCAGCAGACAACTTCCTGTTACACAATCATCTGAGACAACTGGCCACGCTTCACTTCCCAGAGTCTCTTCTCAGAACGCCTGCAGAGGTGGTTCAGTAAGAGTGTTTGGAGTGACCTGATTGTTCCGAGTGTGTAAGTTCGTAGCCAGGGTATTCGGCAGCCTGTGGGTAAACACGGCATTCGTTTCTTCCGGCGGTAGATAAATACCTGCGTAGATCTTCGGAACAAACAAGAATACAAGGGCAACCGAGTGGTTCAGAAGAAGCGCCACCGAGAGCAGCATGACCCTGACAGATTCATGAGAAGCCGTCAGGTAGGTAGGGATAAACGCCAGCCAGATGACCAACGTGCTGGACAAGCACATGGACATAAACCTTGACTCGTTGAAGTTGTCAGGAAGTTTGCGGGTCTTGAATGCAAATATTAAACACAGCGAGACCAGTATGAGGTTGTATGCCAGGAAAGAGACGATGCCAGGTATTGTCATGTCGCAGGACATCTCCACGAACTTGTCAGTGATGATTGGTTGTGTCAGTATGGCTGTTGGCGCGAACGTCAGAGCAATCGCAACACAGATCAGCACCTTGGATGGAATATATGTGCATACTATGTTACAACTGCGAGCAAAAAAAAAAAAAAAAAAGAATGTATACTAGCAATTTTAGGAATAAATCAATTTTGAAAAAATCAAAATCACTGCACTCGAGACATTCCCACACGAGCTCTATCCCCTTCCAGAGTAGTCAGTAAAGAGTTCCCATGTTGATGGTGTCAGTTGCAACATGATTCAAAGTTCGCCTGGTTTTGTCCATGCGGGTAGAACATAGTCCAGACATCCTGCTAATTCCCAACTCATTCATTCTCTCTAGATATGGATACTATGCATGTTTCGCATTTAAGTTTAAAAAAATTGATGGATAAGTGGATGCATGGATGGATGAATGCATGGATGGATCAATAGATGAATGGATAGATGCATGGATATATGGACGGATGGATGCATGAATAGATGCATGGATAGATGGATGCATAGATGTATGGATGCATGGTTTGAAAAAAATGCATGGATAGATGGATGGATGGACATATACATGGATAGATGGATGGATGGATGCATGTATAGAGGTATAGAAAGATGGATGGATAGATGGATAGATGGATGCATGGATAAATGAATGCATGCATGGATGGATAAATAGATGCATGCATGAATGGATGGATGGATGGACGGACGGGAGGATTGATAGATGGATAGATGGATGGGTGCATGGATGCATAGATGGATGGATAGATGGATGGATGGATGCATGGATGCAGGGATGGATCAATAGATGAATGGATAGTTGCATGGATAGATGGACGGATGGATACATGAATAGATGCATGGATAGATGGATGTATAGATGTATGGATGCATGGATTAAAAATAAATGCATGGATAGATAGATGGATGGATATATGCATGGATAGATGGATGGATGGATGTATGCATAGATGGATATATAGATGGATGCATAGATGGATGGATGCATGCATGGATGGATGGATAGATAGATGCATGGATGGATGGATAGATGGATTGATGAATGCATGGATTGATGAATGAATGCATGAGACGGGAGGATGGATAGATGGATGGGTGCATGGATGCATAGATAAATGGATGGATGCATGGATGCATGGATGGATGGATGCATGGATGAATCAATAGATGAATGGCTAGATTTATGGATAGGTCGACGGATAGACAGATGCATGGATAGATGGATGCATAGATGTATGGATGCATAGATTGAAAAATAAATGCATGGATAGATGGATGGATGGATGTATGCATGGATAGATGGGTGAATGGATGCAAGTATAGATGGATAGATAGATGGATGGATAGATGGATGGATAGATGGATGGATGCATGCATGAATGGATGGATAGATGGATGCATGCATGGATGAATAGATAGATAGATGGATGCATGGATGGATGGATAGATAGATTGATGGATGCAGGGACTGATGGATGAATGCATGGATTAATGGATAGATAGGTGGATGGATAGATGGATAGATGGATAGATGAATGGGTGCATGGATGCATAGATGGATGGATAGATGGATGGATGCATGGATGCATGGATGGATGCATGGGTGGATGCATGCATGCATGGATGCATTGATGCATGTATGCATGGATGGATAAATGTATTGGATGGGTGCATGGATATATGTCTGTCTGTTTGTCTGTTTGTCTGTCTGTGCACTTGTGTGTGTGTGTGTAAGTAGGTGTGTGCGTTCATGCAAGCATGATGGAGTCGCCGTGGTGTAGTGTCTAGGCGCTCGCCTGCGGATCGGAAGGTTGTGGATTCGGGTTCTGACGGAGCCCGACTTTTTTCCCCTAAAAAATTACCTTGGTTCCAGGTCGACCCAACCTTGAGTGGGTACCTGGTGCAGTGCTGGGAAGTAGAAGCAGCCGGTGTGATGCTGATCACATTATGCACCCAATGCTGATTGGTCTAGAAACAAAGTCTAGCCCTATATGCCCAATACGTCTGAAGGCGGGGAAAAAAGGTCCTTTGCTTTACTTTCTATCTATCTATCTATCTATCTATCTATCTATCTATCTATCTATCTATCTATCTATTTATCTATCTATCTATCTATCTATCTATCTATCTATCTATCTATCTATCTATCTATCTATCTATCTATCTATCTATCTATCTATCTATCTATCTATCTATCTATCTATCTATCTATCTATCTATCTATCTATCTATCTATCTATCCATCTATCCATCCATCTATCCATCCATCTATCCATCCATCTATCCATCCATCTATCCATCCATCTATCCATCCATCTATCCATCTATCTATCCATCTATCTATCCATCTATCTATCCATCTATCTATCCATCTATCTATCCATCTATCTATCCATCTATCTATCCATCTATCTATCCATCTATCTATCCATCTATCTATCCATCTATCTATCCATCTATCTATCCATCTATCTATCTATCTATCTATCTATCTATCTATCTATCTATCTATCTATCTATCTATCTATCTATCTATCTATCTATCTATCTATCTATCTATCTATCTATCTATCTATCTATCTATCTATCTATCTATCTATCTATCTATCTATCTATCTATCTATCTATCTATCTATCTATCTATCTATCTATCTATCTATCTATCTATCTATCTATCTATCTATCTATCTATCTATCTATCTCTCTGCCTGTCTGTCTGTCTGTCTGTCTGTCTGCCTGCCTGCCTGCCTGCCTGCCTGCCTGCCTGCCTGCCTGTCTATCTGTCTGTCTGTCTGTCTGTCTGTCTGTCTGTCTGTCTGTCTGTCTGTCTGTCTGTCTATCTATATACTTAACCAATGTTCGAGGGCAACGAGCTTGCAGATACAAATCTAGTAGAAACTGTGGTTATAATGACATGTTCTGCATTAGGTAGGCGAGATTTCACCAGTCTTAAGCGAGATACATTTCACAATAGGCATCAGAACTAGAGAGTTCAGGATCCCTGAGACCCCAAAAATTAGGAAGCCTTATCGCCCCACACCCTCTAACCGCCTCGATCCCTCCTAATGATTTTGAAAAGGTACTAAAAGTTTCAGGATATTTTGCATTAAAAGTGTATAGCTAAGCACCAGCACGGAAAGCGAAGGTAACATTTTTAAGACCATGCATCTTCCTGGTAGCGACAGACGGATGTGAATCATGGACTTTCTTGCAGTCCTTAAGGAAAAGTATTTCGGCTTTTGGGCTAAAATGTTATAAAAAGATTCTCAGAATGCTGTGTAAGGAAAGAAATACTGACATCCTATAAGAATCAAACATTAAGGAAGATTGGCTAATAAATAGCATTTTGTCTCGGAAGCTGACATATTTTGGCCAAATAAAATGCCACAGTGGATTAAAGGTGGGGGGGGGGGGGGGGGGGGGGGGGGGGGGGTGGGGGGGGGGCAAAAGGCAGGATACCAGGAAGGAGGAGCAGGTGCCGACCAACGCGAATATGGTCACATATTTAAATGATACTTAAGATATGATAATGCACACGGCGGGAGAGCTGGCTAGAGACTGGGTTTCTTTCAGGCAGATTGATGAGAGCAACGTTCTGCAAAAGGACCTGCTGCATGATGATGACTAAAAAGTCCCATATAGCATTTCCACTTGAGTGACGACTGGTCTATAAAAATACGAGTTTAGCAACATATTTCCTATGCGCTTTTTCTCCTTCTTCTTTCTCGTTCTCCTCCCCCTTCTTCTTCTCCGCCTCCGCCTCCGCCTCCGCCTCCGCCTCCGCCTCCTCCTCCTCCTCCTCCTCCTCCTCCTCCTCCTCCTCCTCCTCCTCCTCCTCCTTCTTCTTCTTCTTCTTCTTCTTCTTCTTCTTCTTCTTCTTCTTCTTCTTCTTCTTCTTCTTCTTCTTCTTCTTCTTCTTCTTCTTCTTCTTCTTCTTCTTCTTCTTCTTCTTCTTCTTCTTCTTCTTCTTCTTCTTTTTCTAAAAATTACTATTATTATTATTATTATTGTTATTATTCCCCCTCTTCCCCTCCACCTCCTACTTCTCATTTTCTTTTTTTTTTCTTCTTCTCCTGCCCTCCCTTTTCTCCATTCTTTCCATTATTTCAGCAAAGTTGTGAAAGGACAATGAATGGAGATAGTAAACATAAAGACAATAGCAAAACTCATTTACCTGTAGAACAATCAAGGTAACTGCCATAAACATCTGAGACATTGGACTGATAAATCTTGGTCGCTGTTTGCCCTTGGTGCCACTGTGGAAGATGCGGAAGATTCGCACAGCTTTCACCAGCAACGGAGCATAAAGCCACGTGAAACTCAAGCAGAACATGAAGTAGAGGGCGCTGCAGGTGACATGCGTTGGCGTGGACTGGAAACAAACAACCGTGATGTAACCGACCATGATGGCGACGAGCTGAAGGAAGCTGAGTTCTCTACTCGCAGCTTTGATGACACGAACTTCACGTAGATAGACGTAAGCAAATATAACGCCCAGCGTACAAATAATTGCCCCTACGGTCAGAATCATCATGAGAATAGGTAGCGTGTTGGAGAACTTCGGGTAGCTGACTGGTATTGGAATACACATAGTTGAATTTGTCTGCTGGTCCGGCCACATGAACTGCGGACATACTTCGCATCTGGGGACTTCAGTATCAAAAGCCATCCGTTCGTTTTCTCTGCAGGAGCGGCAGTCCCAGCAGCATTCTAGCTTTGAGGGGATTTTGAACTGCCCATCTTTACACGGATAGCTACAGATTGATTCAGGCCGTTCATCTGCGTCGAGTTTTTTGAAGGGAATATCAGAATTAAGATCGTTGAAGTACTGCCATGATAAGTTAAACTGACTGACGTACTGAATACTGCTCGTTAGTATGTTGTAATAAGCAATAGTGTTTTCAGTAATTGCTCCGGTAAAATTGCCATCTGCAGATTTCTGCGGGAATACTTGGTTTATGCGATATTTGCTCATGCCATCGCCGTATTCGTCAAATCTAACAAGCCCAGTGAAGCCTTCAAATGATACATTTAAGAGATATCGGAAAAGTATTTCTCCTTTAAGGCAATGTCTGGCTTGTTGCCCCTTAGCATTTGGACAGTGATCCATGAGGAGTTTATTTATAGCATGTCCAAAAGAATAGACAGCGTCAAGAACGTTCGAATTACCGTCCGCAAATGGGAATCCATTATCTACGTAAGGTAAATGTGTCAGATTGCAGTTATTTTTGGCTAGGGAACATCCTGTGATGAGCTCTACCGAAGGTAACATCCAAGGGTTAGGTGATTCTGCAGGCACTAAGGTCCTGAAATATTCATCAAGCGACGGTACAAATGCCGATACCGGGGCAAAGATGATAGAACCACTTACTTCATCCATGTACGGAGTCAGAGACGAAAGTGATGCCGACCAAGCATCACTCCCTATCCAAATAAAGTTCCCGGCTTGTTTAAGAACTTTAATCTCTTTCAGAAGCGCAGAGACCATGTCCACTAGGAGAAAGAGAATAACAGCCCTAGCTCGAGGGTACTCTAGCAAACTTTTGGCAGTTGTTCTGAAGTTGGAGTCAGAATTCAGTCGACGCGACGTAGCGATACAGATCCCAAACTTCGGAGACAAAGACTGTATGTTGTCAAACGCTGGTTCGCCGTAAGTACCAGCGCTGTACAGTACAGAAATGTAACTCCAGTTCTGGCTTTTGATGAAAGTCAGCATGGCTTTGACTTGATGCTTGTCTGGAGGTATCACCCGGAGGAAATATCTATAATTGGATTTATCAGTTAGTGTATCCGTGGTTGCCTTGTAAGACATGATAGGAATGCGTGCTATTGAATAGAGTAAAGCTATAGCAATGCTTCGGTCACTTCTGTTAGGGCCGAGGACACCGACAACATCGTAATGACTGATTGCGTTAGAATCTGCATGCGAGGAAGGCTGAAGAATTGAAGAAGAGGACGAGTTACAGATGTTGGAGAAGCATGAATCTGCTGTCATCGGTAGAAAGGACAGGGACTGTGCTAAAGCTGTGTTATCCGTATCACATTCATCCAGGATAACAAACCCCAAGGACACGTTGGACAGCATTGTCGGGTCTTTGTTGATCATGTCTACCGCAAACACCGCCGCCTCCATTCGTTGTAAAGTGATGGATGTCATTCGTAATTTGTCGCATTTAGTGACGTTACTAGAGCTTGAGCCGTAAATCCCAAACAGAGCCCCAATATTTATGTCACCTTTCCTGATGTAAGCAGTTTTGTTTAGACCTGGGATAGAATAGAAACCGCCTACGTCGACAGCCTTGGATAACAATATCCAACTGCACAAAAGTTGTATCAACATCATTATTATTTTCAATGTAAACCTCGTTCCATGCTGTAGAAGCATCTGGTTAAATAAGGCTACAACTCTGCGACATGAAAGCATCTTTATTTACTGATAATATATGCGCCCACCCGTACACAGTGTCCTCATACATTTGTGAATGTCCACTAAGATTCGTTACAGACCTTTGGATACTGATCTATGAAGAATTCGGAATTAATTTAAGAGAACAAAGAGAATTATAGCATCAAATAGTTAAGGTAATGTTATTTCCTTCGTGCACTTTTTCTTTTCATAAAAAGACACAAATGTAACAACAAGTAGGTAAAAGTACCTTGGCACTATGGTTATTACGGGATTAATTGTTACCAATAATTTTTTAATGAAGGCAGCAAAAGAAGAATAAAAAGCTAATAAAACAGAACTGGTGTTGCGAGCCGCTGCTGAGGAGGGGATTTGAGCACTTATGGACTGAGTGGTTCTATGTGCAATGAGGGTTATCTGTCTACTAACTAACTAACTTACTAACTAACTAACTAACTAACTAACTAACTAACTAACTAACTAACTAACTAACTAACTAACTAACTAACTAACTAACTAGTTTTTACAGCCATGTCATATATTGTATTTTCCATTTTTTAAGGAATGTAGAATTAAATGTAGCCGATAGATTAGTGAGAGCTCCTAATTTCTTTCTATTTCATAATTCTAAATCTTATCACACTTTCAAATTACTCGACATCTTTGGAAACATCTTGTCTTTGTCATTTAATTGATGACATCGTAAGGGAACTCTTTTTTACCCCCAATGATTTGTGATTACCTACGAAATGCAACAGCTAGCCGGCTGGTCTCACGTTTACTACCGCAAACCTTCAAAAACGTAAGTGTATTGATATATTGCCTGAAAGCTGTTAGTCGCTGGTTCCATTCCCCTGTTAAGTAATAAATTTGTTTCGATTGGGGGCACAAATAAAATCTTGACCGGCACAGCCAGTGGTTAATGCGCTATCGATGTGACCCTAAATCCTCAGACTCAAGAGCCCTATGACCTTCACCGCTTCACAAAGAGGGACACAAGGGGCGGTTGCTATTTTAGAATATTTAGGACCAAAAGGCAGCAAGGACAGTTTTTTTTAATTGTTTAGATTCTAGAAGTTGTTTGCGGTTTCAAAATATTTACGGTCACAATGCAGTAACGGCATTTTGTTTTTGTTTTTAAAATTGTCCTGATTCCAGAAACTGCGGTTTTAAAATACTTAAAATCATACGCAGTAAAGACAACTTTCTTTTTATGGTCCAGATACTAGACGCTTTTTGAGGCTTCAAAATATTTACACATAAGGCCTAGAAGTCATTAACAGAGGTAACAAATTTACATAGTTTGTGTAAAAGCCGTTCACAGCAACAAAACATATATAGATTTGTTAAAAGGACTGAGCACAGTGTCGATATGTTGACTCATTGTGTCTGAAGGCTAGTCATGCAGCCCAAATCTTACTTATTGTAAAAAAAAAAAAATGATGCCTATAGTGCCAGCATATTTACACACTATGGCTAGAAACCGTTCACAACGCCAGTATATTTACACATTTTTTTAGGAGCTGTTCACAACAACAGATGAATTACAAATCGTGTTTAGAAGCCTAAAACTGCGCCAAACCTCAAGTATATATATAAAAAAATAGCGTTAAATAATCCTGTAAAATTATTAATCTTTTATAAAACGGTTTTTAAAACTTATCACTCTGTTAATCTCTCTGGTGCGCATCTGGTTTAATAAATGTAAATATACATCTATTCTGCTACTATGTTGTAAGTAGATCTGACAGTTAATAAGCTGAAGGTCGATAGGATCTCTCATAAAATGTCGCGAAAGATGAATATATCTGTGACTTCATAACGATGATGATTGCACGGGATGCAGATCTTGGGAGGAAACGTGCATTTAGGACAACACGCTGGAGACCAGACAATGAACAGAAGAAGAAAGGTAACCAGTTCAACTCGAAAATGTTCTCAGTACTGAGAACTGATGGTTTACTTTGCAGTACTACCTGAACATCAGTCGAGATTCTTTGTTCTGTGTCTAGTAAACGAAGTGTGAATGTTGGCTCTGACAGCAGAAAGTGTTTCATGCGACCACGTCCGCATGAAGCAACAATCCATCAAGAGCTGCCTCCATGATGAATGTTGGCTCTAGTGGATCTCCAACGCTCTCTGCATCTCGTCCTTGTGGTCGAGCTGTTCGTCTCACTCTAAATAAGGACACACAAATCAGCAGATTTAAAAATATACAAATTATGTTGTGACTCTTCTTACGCCATTACATTACCAAGAGGCCACAAACACACACTACTCAGAACAACCTATAATGGGTATGTTCTTAAAAACCAAGGTTACTACACGTTGAGACTATCACAGCATCAAGATAAAAGAATGCATGAATGAACCAACAATTTCTCATCACGGAATATTTCCATGTATTATCTGTTTGCATCGTTAGCAGCCAACGTAGAGTTTTCATACTGATTTCATAAGATTACATGAAGTAGGCAACTTCCGGTGCTTTATTAATATCCTCCCCCATACAAGGGAAATCCACAGGTCACGGGTCAGTCTAATATTTCAGGGGGTGGTAGATAGGCTGCATGCAGTCGTACGACCTAGGCTGTATTCTCTCGTGGGACGTAGGTGGGTTGGGGTTAGGCCCAGTTCTAGAAGGTGGGTTGGGGTTAGGCCTAGTTCTAGATGTTTTGGGGTCGTTAAAATCACTAGAAAGCCGGAAAACTAATTCTTACCACCCACTAAAATGTTGGACTGTCCTGTGACGTCATCTGGGGTAGGATATTAATAAAGAACCCAACTCCCTGCCCCCAAAGCCAAGGTGGGACGTTCTTCATCTACATAGCACAGATCCTAGGCAGTGCGGTAGGGACCATGTATTGCCTATACATAATGATGCTCCTCTATACTTGCCTTGTTTACTCTAAAGGAAAAGTAACACCAGTTCACTTGGAACAAAGAACACACCAGAAGCAGCCGGATTAGAAGAGCAATGCTCTGTCCGACAGTCAGAGCTTCCCTCGTTATCAACCGACAGCCAAGGAAAAGGGCCTGATCTGCCCTGCCATAACATAAAGTTTGCAAGCTGAATGCCTCTTCCTAGAATAAGTAAGACTAACACCCTCCCCAATGTGCTCCTGCACCAAGAACCAATGGCACAATGTTGGGTGCAATGTTGGATATGCGCCGCCCAACTTTAGGCGTTAACAAGAAACATGTAATACAGGCTTCTCAGGATAACATACTGTACACACACACACACACAAACTATACACAGACATATTTGATCTTCTTTCTTCATCGGCTGTAGATTCCAGAAGATGTTTGCGGTTTTAAAATACTATAGATAAGGCAGTAAAGATAATTTTCTTTTTATTGTCTAGATTCTTGAGTGAGCGGAACAGCTCGATCACAAGGACGAGATACAGAGAGTGTTGGAGATCCACTAGAACCAACGTTCATCCTGGAGACAGCCCTTGTTCGATTGTCACTTCATGCGGGCGTGGACGCATGAAGCACTTTCTGCTGTCGGAGCCAACATGGACACAGAAAACAGTTTCTACTGCTGTTACTGGTTATATCGGAACTGTAACTATTTGCTTGCTGCTAAAAATGGAGACGGACGGCTTATGGGGGTGTCCCAAGTGCTGTGATGTCGATTCTTAATTCAACATTTAACGGCTGTAAGCTCCGGCGGAAAGTCCTAGTTGTTTCTCTATTCGGACCGGCTCTGTCCCAGAGCCTGAGTTTTCCGTGTACATCCGTTTTACCGCCTTATTTGTGTGCAGCTGGTTGTTTCTCGCCGCTAGGACAGACGCACTAGGAATTAGAAGGAAGTCCCTAGTTATTCGGCTCCTACGTCATGCTTATTGGGGAGGCAGTGGGTCTATTCTTGTTTTCCCATGAATGGAGACCCCGGAATCCACTCGGGAAAGAGACCTATTGGTTCCTCGTTTCCTAATTATTTCCTGCAGTGCACTGCACAACACTATCAGAGAGTACAAATACATTATTCGATTAGTGGGTTCTGTCGTGCCGAAATCTGATTACTCAATCAACTTGAGGGCCCTCCCTACAATTATGTTAACGGGGAGAAGCGCTAAGCCATAATCTAAAAGAATGATTTTTAGCGCTAGAAACCCCCTATCCATTCGAAAATGCAATGGTGCTAGATTAATAATTATTATAACAGTAATAATAATAATATAATAATAATAATAATAATAATAATAATAATAATAATAATACACCTTCTCATCGACTTACGACCTTTGCGACTTCGACCATCTACACTTACGACCTTTGCGACTTTGACCATCTACACTTACGACCTTTGCGACTTCGACCATCTACACTTACGACCTTTGCGACTTTGACCATCTACACTTACGACCTATGCGACTTCGACCATCTACACTTACGACCTATGCGACTTCGACCATCCACACGTACGACCTTTGCGACTTCGACCATCTACACTTACGACCTATGCGACTTCGACCATCTACACTTACGACCTATGCGACTTCGACCATCCACACGTACGACCTTTGCGACTTCGACCATCTACACTTACGACCTATGCGACTTCGACCATCTATACTTACGACCTATGCTACTTCGACCATCCACACGTACGACCTTTGCGACTTCGACCATCTACACTTATGACCTATGCGACTTCGACCATCCACACGTACGACCTTTGCGACTTCGACCATCCACACTTACGATCTATGCGACTTGGATCATCCATACTTACGACCTTTGCGACTTCGATCATCCACACATCTGACCAAAATTATTGAATAAAAAAAAATATAACTACACTGGTGAGGTTGAAAAGTTCGCGGAACTAAAGCTTAAAGCGCAGCAGGGTCTAAGTCTGCCCCTACAACGTTTGGCAGCCAGTCTGAAGCTGCAGGCCTCTCATTCATTGGCGATGCAAGGTCAGGCGGTACCCGGTGCGGAAAAGATTTTGGTCACCCCTACAC